GTTTCACAGGTAGGGTGCTGCTTATCTCACTTTACCAAGGGTTGTCTCAGTTTTAAAACGGAAAGTCCCACATCTTGGGAACTCCCTCTGTCCACTGTCCAGCCAGGGCACTTGATCACTCTATCAACATTCCACCCACCCACCACAATAGCTGGAAGAGACAAGACTTTATTCTCCTTAAAAAGAATTAAACTTGAAAAGTTCTGGATTTCAGAGCTATAGACAAAACATTTATAGCTTGACCTTTCAAGTGCTGCAGATACTGATTTTGAAGTTACAAATAAAGTTTCACAAGCAGATAAATTTACAAATACAGAATCTGAATAAGGAGGAATGACTGTATTATTCTCTTATTTTTTTTTTTAATTTTCATTTTGAGTTTTGAGTTTATTTAGAGTCCAGGTACCCATGTATTCTTACTTTTCATCACTGTAATCATATATACAAATTTTCACTTTGTCTTAACATTATCACAACAAACCATAAGTTTTTCCATACTCCTCATTTTAATAACATATTCTTTTAATAAATTCCTACTATGTGATAGGCACTAATATGAAAGCTTTACAGATTGAATAATATTTCATCAAGTAGTTGTAATGTAGTTTATTCAACCATTCCACTAAGAATGGACATTTAGTTCTTTTCCGATTTTTCCTTTTATAGATTAAAAAAAAGACCAAGAAAGAACTGTATTATTCTTTTATTGATGGATATTTGTTTTGTATCAGTTTCTATTAATGAACTAAACTGCTGTGAACATTCTAATGGAAGTCTTTGTGAGGACACATGTTTTCATTTTTCTTGGGTACATACCTGGGAGTATAATTGCTGCATCATAGGGCAAGAGTATACTTAGCTTTGAAGCTTCGCTTGTGGTGAGCACAGCATAATGAATAGAGAAGTTAAATCAGTACACCTGAAGTTAATGTAACATGGTGTGTCAACTATACTCTACAAAATTTTAAAAACTGGCAATGTTTTTTCCAGTGGGTTTGACTATTTTTCATTTTTTCCTACTCCTGAACTGTCTACTGAGGATATCTAGAGTAACCCAAGTAGAGAAGGGCGTTGGGCTGTAAGGGCTTTGAGGGAAAGAGTCCACCCTTCTCAGATTTCCTCATTTGCCAGTGACCTTCCTTCACTGTTCCCCAACAGTCAGCGTATAACCCCACATGGCCACTCAGAGGCTGACAGGCACATAGTGGGACAGAGGTGTCGTGGGCAGCCATCAGCGCACTTCCCATGGGAGTGACAACCTCTGTGATGGGCCTTTATTTCATACTGTAATTATGACTCCTGATATGTCAGTGCATTTCTGGGATCTGCACAGGGTTAACACTGAAGTGAAAATTTCAGTGGGCCTCATTTTTCTTAAGATTTATTTATTTGAGAGAGAGAGAGCGAGCGAGTACACATGCCTGGGTGGGGGGCAGAGGGAGAGAATCTCAAGCAGACTCCCCACTGAGTGTAGAGCCTGACATGGGGCTCGATCTCATGACCCTGAGATCATGACCTGAGCCAAAACCAAGAGTCAGTCGTTCAACCGACTGAGTCACCCAGGTGCCCCTGGGCCTCATTTCAAGAGATTTTAACTGATACAATTTTTTGGAGGATGATTTGATAACAGCTATTAAATTTAATACAGTAATTTAGGAAGTTATAGCTGTACAAATATACAGGCTTACATGTGAAGATTTTTATTGCAGCAGCTTTTTTACTGGTGAAGAACTGGAAAAGGCAGTCACTTAGAATGTGAGAGGTATATTATTGCTAATATGCAAAGGCTTAATGCATGCACAAATATGCATATAACAAAAAGAAAGTAGCAGGACAATAGGCTTACTAAAATAGCAAATAAAGACCATATGTAGATAAACTTGTATAGGCATAGAAAATTTCTGTATGGACACAACAGAAACTAATAGTAGTGTTTAGCTCTAGGAGATAGATCAGGAAAATCAGGCATTGGTGAGAGAGACATTTGCATCCGTTTATATCCCTGTATAAAATTTTATTTTTTACCTTGAGTTGTGCTAACTTTATGATAAATGGAAAATGTTTTATTAATGTAAACACAAATATTTTAAATGTGATTTTGCTATTTTATTCAGCACCCCAGCCATCCTCACTTTTATATACTACTTATTTGTCAGTTCTCTATGTTGGCTCCTAAGCCCTTACCTCTAACTTCAAGTAGCTCAGGAAGGTGCCCTGGTAGCATTTGAAGACCTAGAAGGGAAAATGTGGCCGAAGAGCCACAGCTGAGAATGCATGCATGTTGCAGAGATGGGGACAGGTTGTGGCATTAGCAGGTCCTGAGGTTGGTTTGCAGGGCAGATCCTGTCTCTCTTACCAGAGTTCCCATAACTATGAGAGTATCTTGTAGAGAGGGAGTGCAGAAATCATCTGGATAATATGGGATTCTTAGGGCTTTGTGATGAAAAACTTTTTGACAGAGCCTATTTGTTGGCCCCTGGGTTTTTTGTTTTGTTTTGTTTTTGTTTTTTTAAGATTTTATTGATTTATTTGAGAGAGTGAGAGAGAACGTGCAAGAGAGCACCAGCAGGGGGCAGAGGGGCAGAATGGGGGTGGGGGGGGCAAGAACCAGCAGGGGGAGGAGCAGAAGTAGAGGCAGGCTCCTGGCTGAGCAGGGAGCCCAACTCAGGGCTTGATCCCAGGACCCTGAGATCATGACCTGAGCCGCAGGCAGATGCTTAACCAACTGATCCACCCAGGCACCCCTGTTGGCCACTGGGTTTTTGATTTTTTTCTTAAGTGTCTTGGAGCCATTTGTGGTGTCTTCCGCTTATGGGTTGCTAGGGCTCTTGCAGGGTTAATTGGAAACAGGCACAGAAGAGAACAGGGGCTGGCTGCTTACAGCTCATATTGTTTGGTGATTACCAGGACTTGGGGACTGGGTAGAAGGCAGTCTGGGCATTGAGAAACCCCTGACTAGGAGATTTCAAGTTTGCCCATGACACAAAACTTCCCCATGTTCTAAAACTTGATTAGCCTCAGGAGGGAAAGGTGAAAGTTTCTCTGGATTTTCCTTGACTGAATCCCTAGGGTTTCTCTGGACTTGATAATTTAGTTTCTCAGTGAATAACTCCCCATGGGGACAGACAGGAGGAGGAAAGGAGGGGGAGAGACAGAGGGAGACAGTTGGACTTCCACAGCACTATTATTACTGGACTTCTCTCTCAGTACTCGTATGAAGACAGTTTTCTCTTGCACTGAGAGCAAGGACAGCAGCAGCATGCTCTGGGCCGCAGAGCGTGCTCTGTGCTAGTCAGGCAGCAGGTAGCCCGGGATGACCCCTGGAGAGCCATAGAACATTCCAGTTCAATCATTTTCTCTGGAGGTGAGTGTCTGCCAGGGCTCCCCAGTGTGAAGGAGAGAGTAAGAGAAGATCAGGATGGGAAGTTCTGGGCTTCACTGCTGTCTAAAATGAGGACACCTTCACTAGAGCATGAAGAGTGGGCTATGGGAGCTGCATAATGGAGGAACTGAAATGAAATCCTCCCTCCATAGCAGAGAGCAGATTCAGCTCTTCTCAGAGCTGGTGATAGACAACAGCTCTCTTCCATGACCTAAGACCCTGCTCTCTCATTTGCATGTGGTGAGGGAAGGAGCCCAGATATACTAAGCAGATCAGTGTGATCCATTTTGGTGTCTTTGACACTTTTCCTTATTTTTAGGACTCTGGAGAAAATGGGAAGACATAGATAGCAGATATCTGGGGACTTTTCCAAGCTTCTCTATGGGATGCAGACCATGGCTGGTTGGAAATAGAGAGAGGCTGCCCATTTGGAGGTCTTTTTTTTTTTTTTTTTTTAAGATTTTATTTATTTGACAGAGAGAGACACAACGAGAAAGGGAACACAATCAGGGGGAGTGGGAGAGGGAGAAGTAGGCCTCCCGCAGAGCAGGGAGCCCAATGCGGGCTCAATCCCAGGACCCTGGGATCGTGACCTGAGCCGAAGGCAGACACTTAACGACTGAGCCACCCAGGCACCCCTGGAGGTCTTATTTCCATGCTGAAACTAGAGATTTGAGACATGAGGAGGGCAGAGGATGTTGCTTGTTTTCTTTTCTCCTGGTGCCAGGATGGAGATTGTATAGGATGGATGGGAGTTGGGTATGAAAGTTCCAGCCTCCTCTAACCTCCTCTGGACCCCTACTCCCTGCTGTCATTTGGTGACAGAAGGAATAATCTCAGAGCTAGGGGTTACCAACTGGAAAGTAATGAGGTTCTTCCTACCAGGAGGAGACACAGTCATTGAAATGAGAGATGGAGATGGCTTTCATGATAAGAATAAGGAAGAAGAAAGTGGATACCCCACTCCAGGGAGCCAGGAAGACAAGGAAAGACTCAATACTTTGTCTCAGTATAGCTCTTATCTTATGACAGTTGCCAAGGTAGACCCCACCTCCCTGCCAGCTGGCTCTAATACAAACTGAAATGATGATTAAGATAACTGAAGTGAGAACTTTAAGTGAACATAAGGCAAATGGAGCCCACATTCAGAGGAGATGAAGGGAGGAAGCAACCATATCTGGGTGGGACTGGCAGGATTTTGTAGGACGTAAGGGACAGAGGATACAGTTTAGGGCATTCAAGAGGGAAGGGTTGGTGGTATAAATGAGAACATTGTGGTCAGGGAAGTGGACAGGGTGGCAGGTCAGAGCAGAGTTGCAGGCAGAAGTGCTAGTAAGTTGAAAGACGAGGGTGCATACAGCGATGGGTGGGTGTTGGTGACTAATGCTCACCTTCTTGCATATGTATATTTATTTTCATATGTATTTTCTTCATAAAACATTTAACATCAGCCTTGTACAGAGAATAGTAGAAGATGAACCCACTTGGTCATGATGTGGAGCCTAAGAGCAGAGATAATACTTCCTCAACTTGGGAATAGCTTTAATCCTTTGAAATGGGAAGTATGTGAACTCTCCCTTGTTCTCTAGATTTAATAAAGGGCAAGACACAGGACTAAATGTTGAAGAATTATTCTAGCACCATTGAATTTTATCTGCTTGGCTTCCATGTCTCCAGAGAACTACACAATATTCTTTTTGCCACGTTCTTCTTTCTCTACTCAGTGACAGTCATGGGAAATATGCTCATCATTGTGATTGTCTGTTGATAAATGTCTGCAGTCCCCCATGTATTTCTTCCTTGGCCACCTCTCTGTCCAGAGATCCTGATCACATCGGTTGCTGTCCCCTTGATGCTCTGGGGGTTTCTGCTTCCTGGAATGAAGGCAATATCTCTGACAGCATGTAGTGCACAATTATATTTGTACATTTCTTTGGGCACATCAGAATTTATATTAATGGGAGCAATGGCTGTGGACTGTTATGTGGCTGTCTGTAACCCCTTGAGGTACAACATCATTATGAACAGCCACACCTGCATCTGGGTGGTCATTGTGTCATGGGTGTTTGGTTTTCTATTTAAAATCTGGCCAGTCTATGCCACATTTCAGCTTACCTTCTGCAAATCAAATGTGTTAGACCATTTTTTATGTGACCGAGGGCAACTGCTCAAACTATCCTGTGATGACAGCCGTTTCACACAGTTTATTCTTTTTTTAATGGCTATATTCATTATTGTTGGTTCTTTGATCCCTACTATCATCTCCTACACCTATATCATCTCCACCATCCTCAAGATCCTCTCAACCTCTGGGTGGAGGAAAGCCTTCTCTATGTGTGCATCCCACTTCACCTTTGTTGTGATCGGCTATGGCACCTGCCTGTTCCTCCATGTGAAACCCAAGCAAACACAGGCAGCTGAGTACAACAGGGTAGCATCACTGATGGTTTTAGTGGTGACCCCTTTTCTGAACCCCTTCATCTTCACCCTCCAGAATGACAAATTTATAGAGGCCTTTCGAGATGTCATGAAACACTGCCATCAACTCCTCAAGGATTAGCTGTGTCCTAAGGACAATCATGGACTCATCATTATGGACCTGAGTAGTCTGAAACCACTAATTCAATCTGAAATGATCATTTTCAACACCAAGTGGTTTGTGATGTACAAGGAAATTCTACAAAATCCTTCAAGGGAATTTTAAGACACTGATAATGTTCCAATTTATAATCAGATGTTTCCTACATGGTAGATCTCATTATTTTTTAACTAGATATATGTTTATACACTCTTCTGTAGTTATAATACATCTTACAGTATAAATTTAACAGGTGTAAATGTGCAAAATATATGTGATATTTTTTAGAACACTCAGCTCTTTGGGAAAAGCAAGGAAGAATATAATTCATTCTGTGGCAGTTGACCTCCATGATTGATTCTAGGTACTGAGTCATCTTTCCATATGTTGTCCTGTGCATTCATGATTTTCTCACTGCCTAAAGCACCCTCTATTTCTTTTGTGAGTGACCCCAAGTTCAGCCTCAGGCTCCAACCTTTACTTGAGGTTCATGCCTCCAGGTCCAGCAGGGGCACTGCCACCCTGTAGATCTTCTCAACTGGCAGTTGTGAGTGAACTCACTCCACAACCCTGCCTCCTTCCCAACCTCAGGGCCAGATGTATGTTAATTCAGGTACATCTCTAATTGGTGGACTTTCTCAGGGTGAGGAGGGAGGGTCTTGGAAAGAGGCATTTTCTTATATGGCATGATTCTCATTATCATGCCAGCCCCAAATGTGGGAGGGCATGAGTTCTGGGACCTGAACTGACAAGGGCAAGCTGACCTTGCTGTGTCCCTGGGCTGAGGCAGGAGTGCAGGGAGGGCAGAAAAAGGGGCCATGCCTGGTCACTTCTCCCCGCATTCCTCACATTGTCCAATCCTGACACAGGGCATTCCATCTCCCTTCTCTGTCTCCTAATCCACATCTCAGTTCCTATATTGTCCTGTCCCATCCCCTTTCCTGTCACACTACAATTGTCAATATTTCTGCCATTCTCATGTGGCAAAGCAGGGGTCAAAAGACTGTGCACATGAGACTGCCTTCCCAACATAATACATGTATCTATTCTGCAGACTGTGCATTCGATAAGAATATGTATTCTGCTGTTTTAAGATGGAATGTTCTGAATGTATCTGTTAAGATTTACCTGGTCCAATGTGTCATTCAAAGCCACTGTTTACTTGTTGATTTTCTGTTTGGATGATCGATCCTTTGATGTAAGTGGGGTGTTAAAGTCCCTACTATTATTGTATTACTATTGATTATGTCCTGTATGTTTGTTAATAGCTGCTTTATGAATTTGGGTGCTCCTATGTTGGATGCATAAATATTTACAATTGTTATATCTTTTTGTTGGATTGTTCCCTTTATGGTTATATAATGTCCTTCTTTGTTTCTTGTTACATCTTTGTTTTAAAGTCTATCTTGTCTGATATAATTATCATTACCCTGGCTTTCTTTTTACTTCCTTTTGCATGAGCAATGCTTTTCCAACCCTTCACTTTCAATCTGCATGTGTTTAGGTCTTAAATGAGTCTCCTGTAGGCAGCACATGGATGGGTCTTGCTTTTTTATTCATTCTGTCACCCCAGGTCTTTTGATTGGAGCTGTTAGTCCATTTACATTCAAAGTAATTATTTATAGGTGTACTTATTGCCCTTTTATTATTTGTTTTATGAATATTTTTATAGTTCTGTTTCTTCTCTTGCTTTCTTCTTTCATGGTTTGCTGGCTTTCTTTAATCATATAGTTGGATTCCTTTCTCTTTATTTCTTGCATATCTATTACTGGTTTTTGATTTGTGGTTACTATTTGGTTTATATATAACACCTATGCATATAACAGTCTATAGTAAGTTGTGGTTGCTTAAATTTGAACCCATTCTTTACTCCTCTCCCCACCCCCCTAATCTTTATGTATATGGTTATGTATATGGTATTGTACTTTACATCCTTTTATTTTGTGAGTCCCTTGACTGATTTTTATAGATATACTTAATTTTTTTGCTTTTGTGCTTCCTACTTTTCTTACTCCTGCTTATGGTCTTTCCTTTCCATTCAGAGTTCCCTTTTCATTTCTTGTAGGGCTGATTTAGTAGTCATGAATTCCTTTAACTTTTGTTTATCTGAGAAACACTTTATCTTTCCTCTTATTCTGAATGATAGCCTTGCTGGATGCAGTATTCTTGGTTGTAGGTTTTTTTCTTTCAACACTTTGAACATATCATGCCACTCCTTTCCAGCCTACAACGTTTCTGCTGAAAAATCAGTGGATAGCCTTATGGGGCTTCCCTTGTATGTAACTGTTTTATTTTCTCTTGCTGCTTTTAAAATTCTCTCTTTATCACTACTTTTTGCCATTTTATTTTATTTTATTTCATTTTATAGATTATTTATCTGAGAAAGAGAGAGAGAGTGAGCAGGGGGAGGAGTAGAGGGAGAGAGGGAGAGAACATCCTTAGGCCGATTCCCTCCTGAGGGTGGAGCCTTACACAGGGCTCGATCCCATGGCCCTGAGATCATGACCCGAGCTGAAGTCAGACACTTAACCAACTGAGCCACCCAGGCACCCCTACTTTGTGCCATTTTAAATACCATGTATCTGGGTGTGGACCTTCTTGGGTTGATTATATTGGGGGCTCTCTGTGCCTCCTGGATCTGGGTTTCTGTTTCCTTTCCCAGATTCAGGAAGTTTTCAGCTATTATTTCTTCAAATAAATTATGTGCCCCCTTTTCTCTCTTCTCCTTCTGGGATCCATATAATGCAAATATTATTATGCTTGATGGTATTGCTGAGTTCCCTCAGTCTATTTGTATTTTTTATTATTATTTTTCTGTCTCCTGTTCAGCTTGATTTTTTTCCCATTACTCTGTCCTCCAGGCCACTGATCTGTTCTTCTGCCTCCTCTAGTCTGCTATATATTCCTTCTAGTGTATTTTTAATTCCAGTTATTGAGTTCTTCAAGTCTGATTGATTCTTGTTTATGTTTTCTATTTCTTTGTTAAGGTCTCAGTGAGGTCCTCCACTCTTTACTCAAGTCCAGTCAGTATCTTTATGACCATTGCTTTAAATTCTTTATCAGGTATATTGTTTATCTCTGTTTCAATCAGCTCTCTTGCTTTGATTTTGTTGTGTTCTTTCATTTGGGACATATTCCTCTGACTCCTTTTGTCTGACGCTGCCTGTTTCTGCATGTTAGGAAAGTCAGCTCCATCTCCTGCTCTTGAAAGTAGTGGCCTTATGAAGAAGAGGTCCTGTAGTGCCCTGCAGTGCAATGTGTCTTGTTCAACAGATCCTGGCACTTCAGGGGTATCTTCTTTGTGTGTGGCATGTGCCCTGCTATTCTGGCTGAGCTACTTTTGCCTTCAGTCCATTTGTCTGTAGTGACTCTGCCTGTTGTGGGAAGGGTTTGGTCCCTGTGTTGTTATTAGGCCAGTCTGGGGCTGCCATGGGCTTGAGTTGAGTCAGATCGGGTGTTTGCCCGAGGTGATAGCACTGAACTACAGGGCACTTTCCCTGTGTTGTTCCCTGAGAAGCTTTTATTGGTGGGTGGAGCCTGCAGTCAGAGTAGATGGTTGCCCCTCCCATTGCTGGGGCTATGGTCAGATTGGTGTGTGCAGTTATCATAGGCTGTTTATTCCTGAATTGGATTAGATATATCAGTATGAATCTCTCCTCTCTCTCTCTGTATGTATGCATATATATGTATATGCATTTGTGTGTGTGTGTGTGTGTTCTTAATGTGTCTTTTAAGAGTGCTAGTTCAATGACCAACCCAGTAACAATAAGCATGCCCTTTAGGCTCAGGTCATGGTCCTGAATGACCATTTAAACCATAAGAAACAAATGCTCCTGGATATATGGCTGATTCCAGGTCTGGGGCCAGAAATCAACAGGATGAGCTTGGAACATTTTGTCATACCAGATATCAAAGATGACTAGGGACATGTTAAAAGGATTCAGGGGCCAAACTGAAGAGATTTTCACTAGCCAATATGGGACCAGTTGTAATTTGAAAATAAAATATAATACAATAATAATACAATACAATACAATACAAAAAAAATTGAAAATACAAGTTGTAATGTTGAAAATACAATAATTATACAAAATGCAATCATTTGAAACCCATCAAATATATTTAGAACCATGAGTGCATAATGATACTTACATTATTCACCTTCAAAAGAGATTAAGGAAAGTTATTTATTATTTTGAGATCTGATAAATGGAAAGATTCAAGTATTTATTTTCGGTAAATGTATAGTAAATGAAAATATCAAAGTATTGTAGATAATTAATGAAACATGATAGAATTAGAAAATCACCATTTAGCAACCCCCAATGATGTTTATACGTCATGCATCAACTGTTTCTAACATCATGGAAAAGAGAAAACTAGATCTTATGTGTCTTTTGATGAAAGAAACTATAACAGTCCTTCATTTTATCAAAACTAGAGGAGCTTAGTCTTATCAATCCTCTGAATTCAGCTGCCAATTTACAGGAAAATATGTGGAGAACAGAAAGATACATTTTACTGTACCATAAGAATGCCATTACCACAATCCAGACTACAGGAAACTACAGTCAAAACACCTAGTGAATTCAACAGATAGATTATAAGGAAAAGAAGTGGATGCTGAAAGGATCTACAGATTAAAAGGACTAAAAGGATACATGAAACTTTAAAAAAATGGGCAAGATTAGGGCGCCTGGGTGGCTCAGTTGGTTAAGCGACTGCCTTCGGCTCAGGTCATGATCCTGGAGTCCCTGGATCGAGTCCTGCATCAGGCTCC